GCAATGCATTAAATATGGATCTAATCCATATTATATAATTCAATAAGTCCCAATGCATTTCAATGGCATTAAAACAAATAGGTGCATATTAAAATTATCGATTTTTTTTATATTTTAAATTCTATTCCATAGAGCTAAATAATTTATTTTAAAAGCTTATTTATATGTAAAACGAAATATCATATATATATATTAATTTCTGTATATATATATATATAGCAATGTAATAGTGGAGAACGATACCTTTAAAAGTTAATAATATTAACCATCCGACTTGTACTTTAGAAATACACAGATTGTTATTGAATATAAGCATTAAGATGGGATTCGTTCCAGACTGCTTTCCATAAATAAAATTGAGAGCATTACTAAATATTAATTGATTTATGAAATTTTAAATAATGAATACTCGTGGATTTATCAAATCTATTTTATGCGATGACTTTATATTACACAATTTGTTTATTTAACCTACAGTAAAATTATACATGGTGTGTGTATGTAAATAATATTAATAGTAGTAATAATAAAATTAGTATTAATAATAATAATGATAATATAATAATAATAATAATATATATTTATACGCCCTCCTCTCTATGCAGATATTGATATATTGTATACTATATAAAGTAATTCGTTTATTAGTTTTGTCAGTGGATTTTGTAAGTTGGTGAGTGAGTGACTGGAGGGAAGGGAGGGGGGGGGTAAGGGGGGGGGGATAATTCTGCTTGCTGCCCCCCACACTAGCCATCCAGCTTCTTTTGTTAGATTATTTCTGCATCCATGTGATATCCAGCTGTCTCTGCAAGCCTCAATCACCCGTTAAATATGTATTTAAAACGTTAAGTATTGAAGCGTGTTAATGTGTTTCCTAACGGTTATAAGGATCCATAGCAGCAGCTCAATTAGTGAAATCTGTCTCAATCAGGACTCAGGCTGACTGCTGACAGTCTGCTCCACCAGAGGAGTGTGCTGATCATATTGTGCTGGGAGGGTGTGTGTGAGTTACATTCTACTCTGTTTGTGTATATTAGTCATATGCTGCTCTAAGTGTATGTGTCAGTCATATTCTGCTGTAAGTGTGTGCAGGCCACTTTGTGCTGTGTGTGTGTATAAGTTACATTCTGCTGTGTCAATCATATTTGACTCTAAATGTGTAAAAGTCACATTCTACTGTAAGTGTATGAGTCAATCATATTCTGCTCTTAACTAAGATAAATAAAGACAATAAAAATAATAAATACTACCCAGAACCCACTCAATAATTTGGAGACTGATTTTAAAGTCACTGACATACACCATCGATAGATGATCAGGTAAGGCTTTCTTTTAAAAAGCAGGCCATTGCAAACACAGCCTACAGAAACCTGGATTTAATATGTGAAAAAGTGCTTCATGCTTATTTGCATATTTTGCATTGCATTCTGGGAGACATGAAAAAACAATCTGTTCAGGAATTCTTTATTAGAGGAAAGATTTCTTCTTTTTCAATTTTTTTCAAATTTTTAAGATATATGTAAACTCAGTACATTGATATATATAAAAATTATATTCTGGGTAAGTAAATGTGTTAGTGTAATCATAGTAAAGAATATGTAAACTGGATAGAGTGCATTATTTGTTACATTTTATGGGCATGTTACTAAAAGTGTCCTATGTGTATGAGGGTAATTGACATTTCAAATTGTGCTAGTGAAATCCTACTCTAATCTATTGTTTAATGTCCGTAAATTCAAAAGGACTGTTTCTGAGATTTTGCTAAAATTTTGGCTTATTGTCATTTTGAGCATATTTTATTTGGGTGTTCGAACATAGAATTTTATTTTCATAAAAGGAAACATTTGAACTTTTATTGAACAGTAGTTTATAAATTGTTCTTTTTTTTTATTCGCAACACAAACTAAAATATAATTGAACTTAATTATTTAGAGTAACATTGTAAGAAACTTGATTCATTTAAAATTAAAGCTAGCATATTCTGCAACGTCTGTGCAAATAAAAATATATATAATTAAATAATACATACCAAGGCATCTCCTAACTTATCTTTGACCCATGGAGGCAGCCATTTTTGAAGCCTCTCAGAAGCAGGACCAATGCAGGTAATCTAAAGTTATCGGCTGTTCACAAATTTGATATTATGGGCTTTCGAAGGTGTCGCAATATAAATTATGACAATTTTCATTTAAATTAACAACTGATCTTTACTAAACCTTAACTAATATTTAATTAAAAAAAAAACCACAAAAACAAAACACAAACATCCAGGATTTTGTTACTAAAAGGGTGTTGGGGTACTCTGAAAAAAACTTCCCATAATTATAAAATCTAGACTAAAATGTAGGGGAAATTAATTGTATTTTTTTTCAGTTCTTTTTTTTTTTTTTTTTACTAGTTTTGGTTTTTTAAATTTGATTTTGACTTCACTGTAATTATTATCATTAGTAAATAAACCAAGTGTTTTTTTTCTCCACAATCTCAATTTCAACCAGTTAATTCCAATAAAGTCATGTATTTATTACTCCCCATACCTGTCCTGTTTGTGGTCCAGGGCCAGGTGATGTTTCTATTCTTTCCTTCTCTTTAAATGTCATGTGAGCTATGTGAGAGTTTCCTTCTCTCCTGTTTGTAATCAGGGCCGGTGCAAGGATTTTTGCTGCCCTAGGCAAACAAATATTTGCCGCCCCCCATATGCTCTGCCTACCATGTGATATCACAATGCCCCACCAATATGATCTGCCATATGAGCCAACACCAGAGCTGCACACAGTGTCTTTTCTCTGAAAAGGCAGTGTGTTTACATTAAAAAGCCTCAGGGGCAGGCTATAGACACCAGAACCACTACACCAAGCTGTAGTGGTTCTGGTGACTATAGTGTCCCTTTAATGTGAGGTAAATTAGAGATTAGTGCCACTAATAATATACTGTATTGCCTACTTACCACCAGATGAGGACAAGAGGATGATGATGGACTCAGGCTGCAGTCTGGCTCCACTGGTCTGGTGTAGAACACACTCTCTGGAGGTTGTTTGTAGCAGTGCTCACAAAAATCAACAAACAGGAAGCAGCTCCATTTTTTTGGCCCTTTACACAGCTCAATGTTTAGGCCCCCAGGGCCTGACCGTGAGTATGCCTACAAGGCCCGTCTGTAAGTCCACCTACATGGCCCACCCATGAGTTTGCTCACAGGGAGTGAAGTGTATGTGTGTAGGGAATGTGTTGTGTATTACTGTAGAGGATGTAATGTGTGTGTGTTCTGATGGAATGTAGTGTATAGGGATACCAATTTGTGTAAGGGATGTAGTGTGTGTGTGTATAGGGGATGCAGTGTGGGTTTGTGTGTAAGGAATGCATTGTGTGTTTATGTTTGTGTGTAAGGGATGCATTCTGTGAATCTGTGTTTGTATGTGTAAAGAATGCAAGGTGTGTTTCTGTGTATATAATGTAATGCAGTGTATGTGTCTGTAAGGGGTGCATTGAGTGTGTGTAAGAGATGCATTTTGCTTCAGTGTGCGTGTAAGAGAAGTAGTGTGTGTGTGCGTAAAGGATGCATTGTGTGGGTGTGTAATGGATTAATTGTGTGTTTCTGTGTGAGTGTAGGATGCATTGTATGTTTCGGTGTGTCTGTGTGTGAGTAGGGATGCATTGTATGTTTCTGTGCATGTGTGTGTGTGTGTAGGAATGCACTGTGAGTTTCTGTGTATGTGTCAGTATGCATTGAGTATGTGTGTAGTGTGAAAGAGAAAGTTTGTGGGGTAGGATAGGGGCTAAGAGGAGAGCAGCTCTTTATTTTTATTATTATATTTATTTTGTCAATATACTTTTTTTTGTATATTTTTCTTTAAGTTTTGTGTCTTACACCCCCTTTAGTTTATCTCTTACAAGCCCCTTGTGTGTCTCTTACCCCCTCCTTTGTATGTCTTACTCCCCCAAGCCCCCTTGTATCTTACTCTACCCAACTCTTTTGTGTGTCTCTTTTCCCCTTAGGCTACTATGTGTGTCTCCCTCACAAGTGACTCTGTGCATTTCTCTCCTGAGCCCCTCTGAGTGTCTGTCTCACTCCCTCTGTGCTTCACTTTAACCCCTTCCGCTGCCTCTCTGTTTGTCTTACACTCCTCCTTCCCTTAATAATCTCTTTCACTCCTCCCATCCCTTAGTGGTCTCATCTCCTCTCCTCCCCCTGTCCATCAGTGATCTCCCCTGTGCCTTAGTGCTCTCTCCTCCCCTCCATTAGCATTCATCTCCCCTCCCTGTCCCTTAGTGGTCTCCCCCCCCTTAGTGGTCCTCTCTCTACCCCACCACCACCTTAGCAGTTTTCTCTCTCCCCCCCTCTTAGTGGTCCTGTCTCTCTCCTCTCCTCCCCTTTAGTGGTCGTGTCTCTCTCACCCCCCTCCCCTTTAGTGGTCCTGTTTCTCTCATTCCCCTCCCCTTTAGTGGCCCTGTCTCTCTCACTCCCCTCCCCTTTAGTAGTCCTGACTCTCTCACCCCCTCCCCTTTGATGGCCCTGTCTCTCTCCCACCTCCCCTTTAGTGGTCCTGTCTCTCTCTCACCCCCTGCCCTTTAGTGGTCCTGTCTGTCTTCCCCTCCCCTTTAGTGGCCTTGTCTGTCTCCCCCTCCCCTTTAGTGGTCCTGTCTCTCTCCCCCTCCCCTTTTAGTGGTCCTGTCTGTCTTCCTCCCCTTTAGTGGCCCTGTCTGTCTCCCCTCCTTTAGTGGTCCTGTCTCACCCACCTCCACTTTTAGTGGCCCTGTCTGTCTACCACCCTTTAGTGGTCCTCTCTCTCTCCCTCCCCTTTAGTGGTCCTGTCTCTCACCCACCTCCACTTTAGTGATCCTATCTATCTCCCCCCCTCCCCTTTAGTGGTCCTACCTCTACCCCCTTCCCCCCCTTAGTGATGCTACCTGCCCCCCTTCTTGGTGGTCATCTCTCTCCCCTCTCAGTGGTTCTCTCCCCCCTATGCCTCCTACCTATAGTGTGGCCAGGGTACAGGAGCTTCTGTTTCCTGTACCTGGCCGGACTGACAGGAAGTGCTCTCACTTCCTGTCAGTCCGGCCTAGGCACAGGAAACAGATGCTCCTGTACCACGGTCGGCCGCTCGTGCCGCCCAGCCACGCTACACTGAGTGACAGGTAGAATGGAGCGCTGTGCGCTTCCCTCCTATCGGGTTACTAAAAACTTGCACCCCCCAGGCCGGTGCACCCTAGACGACTGCCTAGGACCTATAGGACGCACCGGCCCTGTTTGTAATATGTATTTTCTGCCCTCATTCCTCTTTACAATTATATTCTCTGTACTTCTTTTGCTACACTCTCCTATTTAGAACTGTACTTTCTTTGTCTTTTGTCTCTTTTATGTCACTCTATAACGTTTTTGGCTTTCTTCCTCTAGTTCTTTTTCTTATCCTGTTAGATTTTTGGCATCCCATGATCCCTAAGATACCCAGCTGTGTGTTTTCCTCGTTGCCCCCAATTTAGGTCACTCCTTGCACAGTTGCCTGTACCTGGATAAATGTCACACAGTGTGGAGGTAACTTTGCCATTCACGCTTATGTCGCTCAGTAAAGGATAAAAGTAGAATTGGTCATCGTTTGTGCCCTCTGCACCTATGGCATGATCGTGGGTGTTAGTTTTGCCACCAGTCTATGCTCCCTCTGGCACTGTACCTAATGTGGGGTCAGAGAAATAGAGGGCGTTGGGAACTCCAATGTGTTTTATTAACTCATCTATACTACAGGCCCCATTAGGGCAGGATTATCTTTTATTCATTCAACAAATAAGAGGGCTCTCAGATTGTGCACGAGAGGGCCATAACTGGGTTCAAATCAACTTAAGTTTGTACATTGTTTCAGTGAATTGTGAAAAGGTTAATATAGCTGTTGTGACCAAATGGAAAAATCTTTATTTCCATCACTTTTCTTATAGAGGTATCTGATAAATTTAGATATTAGTACAATTCTGTTGGTAACCAGAGCCAGTCAGGAGATATAACGCTTCCCTTGATTTCACATCTGACCTTTTCCTTACCAACGTAGAGCCAGATTAAGATTGCTCAGGACCCTAGACATGTTGCCAGATTGTGCCCCCCTCCTAGAGCCCTGGGCTCTGTTCTGTGTTTGTTGTGTATGTGAGTGTGTAGTGGCTGAGTGTTTTGTATGTGAGAATCTGCGTGGTGTCTGAGTGTTGTGTGTGGAAGTGTCTAAGAGCTGTATGCAGGGGGAGGCTGAGTGGACTCCTATATGCTGCTTTAGTGTTGAGTCTGTGTGGTGGATTTTGTGTGTGGAAGTGTGTGGCTGAGTGTTGTGTGTGTGTCAGGGGAGGCTGTGCTGTGTTCTCTCTGGAGCTTGGGGGAGGTTTCTCGCCACCCTTACAGTTTAGCTTAGGGCAGGAGAGGTGTATAGACCCTGGTGGTCTGGTGCAAATCACTTTAAGAGCTCCCTTACAGTCTGGCCCTTTGTCAATAACTCTGAGTGCTGACTGCAGCACTATGTGCCATTGAGAAGTGCCAGATGACCGAGAAGGTGCTCTTAAAGTGATCTGCACCCAATAGAGGTGCAGACCACAACTCTCCCTCGCATAAATGAGGGGGTGCAAGGCTGTGCAAGGAAATCTTTTGATAAACAGGGGACCACAGAGCTTGAGCTCTAGACAGCTGCCCATGCCTAGGTTATGGGTAATCTGCACCAGCCTAGCAGAGCACTGACAGATTTAGTTATAATCTGTTTTCCAATTCTGTTTAGATTGTTCTTAAATAACCATATGATGTGCATTTAACTCAATGTCACAAAGACCAGGGGTCAGTCCTTAAAATATAAGTAGGGGTACTCTTGGAGTAACTCACATCATTATGCAATAAATTCAAAATTAAACAGACTGTGCAACAAAGGAAGTATAAACATTAGATCTCTCTTTACAGGAAGTGTTTAGGAAGGCTGTGCAAGTCACATGCAAAGAGGTATGACTAGGGCTGCATAATCAAAGTGATTTAACTCCTTAGTGGCAGAGATTTCAGTAGTGAGGCTGCTTTATTTTGGTGCCAACAATATCCCTTTTAAGGTCAAAACTGCCAAACTGGAAAAATTCTAAGTCAGTTATGCTTACACTTCGGTTGCTCTGGCCTTAGAATTTAAATAAACTTGGAATAAGCTTTGAATTTTCACTTTAGTGAAAATTCAAATTTTAGAGTAGAATAGCGAATTCAAATTTTAGAGTAGAATAGCTGAAATGGAAAAAGATCTTAAAGTCATCAAAGTTTTCAGTCGGGCTTGTCCAAGTTTGGAACCAAAACAAAACCTAGAATTTGAGCTATATGTCTGTTCAACCATAATTGACCTCTTTCATATTAAGCACACCCACACTTATTACATATCATTGCTTTCTGGAGAAATGGAAATTAAAATTCACATTAACTATATATATATATATATACAATTTTATATGAATAAAATCTAAAAAAATGTGTGAGAAATTAGGACATAATGTTATTTTCCAATAAAACACACATATTTGTATGCTGTGATGTCCCACGAGTACAACGATGCCCCCCATGTACAGGTTCTATAGGGATTTGAAAAGTTAAAGGGTCAGATAAAGAGCTTGCCCATTTCAGTGTTTACATATTGAAATATGCCACATTGGTTTGCTCGGTCTTTTTTGCCTTTGAGACAGTATGGCAGCCCAGGAAGGAAAATGACTCCCATCATAGCATAACATTTGGAAAAGTAGAAAAGCCCGGGTTATTCACAATGGGGTATGTCCATTTTTTTTTTCTGTGGACATACTTAGGCACAACCCCTGGGTAAAGTTAGTGTTCGTATTTGGTTTTGTTTTTTGCATTTTTCACACAAAAACTGCACTTTCACTGATGATATCATCTGCTCTAAAACACTCATATATGTGTTCAGCGATATCTCACTAGTACAACAGTACCCTACATGTACAGGTTTTATGGTGTTTTGGAAAGTTACAAGGTCAAATATGGGGCTTGTTAATGAATTTCTCAGGACGTTTTGCCTGGGTTGTCAGACACGTCCCTCAAAATATTATTTATAAAATATTATAACTATATATAAAAATATATATATGTAAAAAATAAATGTACTTTGAAAAAAAAAAAATATATATATATATTCTAAGTGTACTTTTTTATTGTCACCCGATTTGACCGCTGTGGAGGGTGAGTATGCCAGCCGGAGGGAGGGCTCGATTGTTAGGTCTTGCTATGCCTCCCTAACAGTGTTAAAGCCCTTCTTTTTTAGGACTGCAAAGCACACCCTAACATTGGAAAAGTGTTAATCCATCTGGTAGTATCTAGTGTTTTATAAAACAATATTACTGTTCCTTTACATTACTTTTTTGAATGAAGTCTTGTGCCATCTTGTGGCAAATACAGGAACAACATTCTTAGATTGTAGAAGGAAATATATAAATATAAATGTATATTTGGTTACACCACAAAACAAGATATATTTGTTTTCCAAGATATCCTAACAGTAAGATCAATACATAAATTAGAATTTCCAAATGTGAGAGTATGCAGAGAGGGCAATATATGTACTACAAATAATTCACTCACAGGAGGTCCAAACATCTAATATACACACTGTTCAAAATTATTATGCAAATTCTATTTAAGTGTCACAAAGATTAAATATTTTGTTTTCAGTTTAACTCATGGATGGCATTGCGTATCAGGGCTCTTTTGATCACTGAAAACAATCTCGGACACCTGTGATAATTAGATTTCCAGGTCAGCCCAATTTAAGGAAAAACTACTAAAGGAGGGTGTTCCACATTATTAAGCAGAGCACCATTTTCATTCAATATGGGGAAGAAAAAGAATCTCCCTGCTGCCGAAAAGAATGAAATAGTTCAATGCCTTGGACGAGGTATGAAAACATTAGATATTTCACGAAAACTTAAGCATGATCATCACACTATTAGATTTGTGGCTGATTCAGAGCACAGACGGGTTCATGCAGATAAAAGCACATTGATGAAAATTTCTGCCAGATCCATGCATCAGATCAAGAGAGCAGCTGCTAAAATACCATTACATAGCAGCAAACAGCTATTCGAAGCTGCTGGTGCCTCTGGAGTCCCACGGACATCAAGGTGTAGAGTCCTTCAGAGTCTTGCAACTGTGCATAAACCTTTTATTTGGCCACCACTAACCAATGCTCACAAGCAGAAACAGCTGCATTGGGCAGAAAAATACATGAAGACTAATTTTCAAACAGTCCTGTTCACTGATGAGTGCCGTGCAACCCTGGATGGTCCAGATGGATGGAGTAGTGGATGGTTGGTGGATGGCCACCCTGTTCCAACAAGGCTGTGACGTCAGCAAGGCGGTGGTGGAGTCATGTTTTGGGCCGGAATCATGGGAAGAGAGCTGGTTGGCCCCTTTAGGGTCACCGAAGGTGTAAAGATGACCTCTGCAAAGTATGTGGAGTTTCTGACCGACCACTTTCTTCCCTGGTACAGAAGGAAGAACTATGCTTTCCCTAATAAAATCATCTTCATGCATGACAATGCACCATCTCATGCTGCAAAGAATACCTCTGCATCAATGGCTGCTATGGGGATAAAAGGAGAGAAAGTCATGGTGTGGCCTCCATCCTCTCCTGACCTCAATCCTATTGAGAACCTTTGGAGCATCCTCAAGCAAAAGATCTATGAGGGTGGGAGGCAGTTTACATCCAAACAGCAGCTCTGGGAGGCTATTCTGACATCTTGCAAACAAATTCAAGCAGAAACTGTCCAAAAACTCACAAGTTCAATGGATGCAAGACTTGTGAAGCTGCTATCAAATAAGGGGTCCTATGTTAAAATGTAACGTGACCTGTTAAAATGTTTAAAAAGTTAAAATGTTGTTATAAGTTTGATTGAAATAGCTTTTGATTTCAGTAAATATGCTGCAAACACAACAAATGACAATTTTCAGTTCTTTGCAACCTATAAAGTGTTTTGAAACTTACTGTGCGTAATAATTTGGAACAGTGCATTGTAAGTTTTTTATGTTATCATTAGGAGGTTTGTTCAATAAAATTTGAATTGTACTCATAATAGTT